TAAGTGTCCATGAAAGATATGGGACATGACTTTAGTGTTTATCTGTCTAAATTCTTATTCCACTTCTGTGATTTCAGTATCACTTGATCACTGCTCTTATTGTAATGTGATCGTATGTTCCATTTTTTCCACACTACTTTCCCTGTGTTGAAAGCATTTTTTCAAAGGAGAAGAAAGGGGACTGCTGAAAAGCAGTAGCTTTTTTTTTTATAACAACCAATAAGTAATTATGCATTCATTTTTATTTTATTTAAAGTGAAAAGTAGGGAGGAGAGAAGAAGAAAACTTCTTTAGCCTTAAGGAACACATGAAAATGCATTGCTATAAGTATTAGAAATATACAGAAGACAGAAGCATTTATTAGTGATAAAGTATCAGCTGGGAAACAACCCAGCTCTGTGTAGGCCAAGGAGATTTTTTTCCATATTATTCTTTAAACAAAATGAAAAAATACCTACATTTAATACATAAATTAAATATTAGAAAATTAAATACACTGAGAGCCAAATAGCTATTTCACAAATACTTATTCACACCAGCTCTTTTATGGCCAGTGGGAATTCAGTGGTGTGGGATAAGTTCTTGATTTGTCAAGGTCAGTCATCTAAAGAGTATGTAAAAATCATACATTTGCAAGGAAAGACAATCCCTTAATTGCTAGCAGAGGCTGGTGACATATGAAAGTGGATAGGCAAAACTGTCATAGGTCCAAGACCAGAGCCAGTTCAGAGCATCTGGTAAAGATCACAGAGTGTTAAACTTGCATCTGCCTGTGACACAGAGCCTTGTCTGTTAACTGGAATCCTGCGTATCAAGTTGCACAAACAAATGCAGATTTTAAGATCACTTATAAGGTGCCTACTTTACAATCGCCATTCTCTGTCTTCAACTCAAGTGCAGTATCAAACATTCCAGAGGACAGGTGCCTATTTTTTTTTAACAATGCAAGGGCAAATATATTACTTGGAGTTTCTCCTTCGTGCCTTTCTCTATATGTATATGCATATATTATTTGCCTGCATACAAGCATCATTTGTTTTGTGTATCTGTAAATTATAAGGATAGTATTGAACAGTAATTACATATTTATCTAAAAAAAGTTTTCACAGTGTTGCAATAAATGTGAGTAATTAGAGTTCTTGGAAGAAATGCCAGGCAAAATTATGAAGCAATGCAAAACACCCTTATCAGGTTTTCAAAAAAATCAATTTAGTAAAGCAAGATATGCACTGATTCTCTGATTGTGATGACTTTGAAATAGAGGGTGCTTTTATGTGTAGCAGGTGAGGAAATTCACATCTTAATAAGACAGCCATTGTATATGGGAATCAGTTTGGCTAATATTCTTCCTGTTCTCCAAATCTGTGCTTATGTTGATTCTTGTTAATAGAAAATATTCTAGTCAACTTACAGACATTAAAATCTAGTATCTTGTTCAGATTTACTCACCTGCAGGTATAATATGTATTCCCTTTTATATTATAGTAAGCTGATGTCAAATTGGAAACTGGGCCCAAGCATTGTACACCAACATTTCCATCCAGTAATAGGTGGTAGCTGTTCAAAAAATGCCACATTGCAACATTTTACTTAGTAAGCCAGCAAGGAATAAGCGAATTGTGAGTGCAGTAACATAACCTCACTAACATGTAAAGCCTTTATCAGATTTCCTGCTGAAGGTCTTTTCTGACATGCACCAGAGTAGGGTTTCAGCAATTTAACATCTGAAGAGAGGACTCCAGCTATTAAGTGGGTTTGTGCATGTGCATGGATGGCTGGCTGTGCCCTCAGACAGACGCAGAGCCTGTGCAGCTTCTGTCCTCCCATCAGCTTTTGGGGTTCCTTTTTGGTGATACACACTCAGGAGATGAATGTGAGATAATCTAGTACTACTCTCAGCTCAGACTGAGATTTACTAGGCAAAGATAAAGCCCAAAACCTGGAAGTAGCTGGCAGACTGGAGAGTTAACTAGAGCTTCCTCTCTAAACAAGTTGTATCAAACAGATACAAAGCTATTGTAGCCTTAATTTTTTAGAAATTAAAAGCTGCTTGAAGTGGAACTTAAATTGAAGCTGCTTACTGACTCTGTCTAATACTTTTGTTGCTTTATCAGTTTGTTCTGGGAAAACAGTTGTTTAATATGTTATATGGTAATTAGCTTTGACAGTATTCTCTTAATGCGGGTCTCAGAGCACATAGCAGCTGAGGCAAGAATGTTGCATAGTAGAAGTTTCCTAATAACAGAATCCTACATACTTAAGTTTCATAGTTAGATTTATATGCTGAGAAATCAAGTAATCACTGATGTTTCTTGCAAGTGTCTCCAAAGCTTGGATTTAACTGGATCATATCAACTGAGGGACAAGAAACAGAAACAGCTTTCTAAAGCTGGAAAAAACAGGACAGGGTAGGAGCACAGTACAGGAAGAAATTATGTGTGATGCACATGGCATCTGATTTCAATATGATGACTTTTTCTGTCCTCTTTGAATGTGTATCTGAAGTATGCCATTTGTTTTAATGTCCATGGATTGCCTGGTTATTAAATTAAACATGACCTCTGCATTTCTATCAGCCTTAGAAAGGACTGCTGCTTTTGTAACTTTATAGATGTTTTTGTCAAGTATATTTATAGCCTACATATTCAAATAGTTCTTATTATCTTCAAAAGATATTCCAGCAAGTCTGGCACCTTGCAGTAACTTTGTACCTTTGCTGTAATTCAAAGGAAGATGATTGTTTCTTTTCTGCTCTCTGAGATACAATCTTTCTCTCCTTACCCCTATCTATTTCTTCCCTGGTATTCTGGCTGCCAGTTTTAGTTCCTTGGACAGCACTGTGGCCTTTGAAGTCAGAAGAATATCTCTTTCCACATGATCAATAGGCACTCGGCCACCACATCTCCACAACACTATTTTTAAAAATAATTACCAAAGTTTCTCCTGTGAGTGTGGAAAATAAATTCTTGAACTGCTAGGCATTCATCAGATGAGGCTGAGATAAACAGATGAAATAGGGGGGCTGGATCAAACTGCTACAGCGTTAAATTTTTATGCTTTTACTTTGACATTTTTTGCTAGATGAGTTAACACTTGGCCCATTTGTACTGTATATTTAGGTTTGGGTTATTTTTTGGGGTTTTTTTTATTGTAACATATTCTTCCTTTTCTCAGTTGCTAATGAAAAGTAATGAAATGCCAAAATTTCCCCTTACATTATAGCCTTTTCAGATGTATATTCAAGCAGACACATCTTGTCCAGGGAAATGCTACAGCTCTGACAACCAAGGGTCCACAGGCTCAGCTTTTTTTTTTTCAGGAAGTTTTAGGGGGACTAAGAGGCAAATGCAAGCTGAGGGAAGGAGGGGAGGCAGCATGAGAAAAAATAAGATGGGGCTCATTTAAAGAAAAAAAATCTTTATATTTTGGGAGATTTGGAATACAGAGAAGGCTGGAAGTGAAAACCTGACTGATGGACAAGTTAAAAATAGGGGCACATTTTTAAAATTACTGCACATGGTAATAGGTGGTAAATAAGGAATGAGTTATTTATGTCTACTAAAAAATTACCACAACTGATAGCACACTTTTCCTACTGTGAGTACATGTAGTGATGCACTAAAGAAGACCATTAATTATGACTGCAATGTATCTTTTCAGAGAGGGCTACAGAGAGACAAATTTACTGGAGAGGTGTATGATGCAGCTATGACCTGCTTGAAAGGCAACAAGGATGTATGAGGGATTTTCCTAATAAAATACATGTCCTTTTTTTTTTACTGAAAGCATTTAGCTGAAAAAAAATGCACAAATCATAAATGAGATTTTTTCCATTTTATGTAATTCTCATTTATTTCATTTAATGGAGGCTAGAGATACCACATCTTCATACTCTTACAGATAAAAAAATTATACAGTTTTCAGTGTAACTTCTGTAAAAATAAGGGATCTAATAATTAATTTCTTTGAGGATGAATAAGACTGCAGTAAAGATTGTGAAAATATATAGCTGCTTGTAATAAGGAGAAAGCACCAGGAATATGTGGGATACTGGAATATAGGGAGAAGAAATATGGCAGGGAATGGAATGGAATGGAATGGAATGGAATGGAATGGAATGGAATGGAATGGAATGGAATGGAATGGAATATTTTTAGTTGGAAGGGACCTACAAGTCCAACTGCCTTGCCACCTCAGGGCTGACTATTAGGGGCATTGTCCAAATTTATTTTAAACACTCACAGGCTTGCGTCTTCAACTACCTCTCTAGGAAGCCTCTTTCAGTGTTTGATCAATTTCTCAGCAAAGAAAAGGCTCCTAAAGTCCAGTCTAAAGCTGCCCTGACGATGCTTTGACACATTCCCGTGTGTCCTGTGACTGGATCCCAGGAAGAAGAGTTCAGTAATTTCCTCTCCACTCCATCTCCTCAGGAGGATGCAGAGAGCAATGAGGTCACACCTCAGCCTATTTTTCTCCAAACTGGACAAACCCAAAATCCTTAGTCATCCTTGCCCAAGACATTCATTCTAGCCCTTTCTCCAGCTTTGTTCCTCTCCTCTGGATATATTCGAGTACCTTAACATCCTTCTTTAACTGTGGGGCCTAGGTTGATTATGCAGCAATTATTGCACCCTGACAATGTAGATTATGTCTCTTAACTGAGTCTTCTTGTCTGCTTCAGTTATCAATGTACAGGGTTAGGGCCGAATGTTCACCCCAAAAAAAACAAACCAAAACAAAGCAAAAACAACCACAAAAGCAAACAAACAAACAAAACAAAAACTGGAAAAAACCAAACCCAAACCAGTGCAAAGTGTGAAAATTAAACCAAAACTTATGGCTAAGAATTTCTGATTCCTGGCGCTATTTTTCTTGAGCCTTTATTGTTACTCCTATGTGAGACAAGCTTATCTAGAGGGAATTCCTTAAGGCAAATGCTGCCATCTAGAGAGAAGCAGAACAAAAGTGCACGATCTAAGTGATAAGATTTTTATTTACAGAGAGACTCAGGAGAAGCTGGACACAGAATGTCCACAGAATGGACTGCAGTGACAGAGATGGGAGCCTTGGGATGTCCTTTCAACAGCTGCTGACTCAAAATATTCAGGTAACTCCAACAGACGCTAAGCAAAAAAAACACTAAGAAAATCCTGACAAAGGATTTTGAGTATGTATCAAAGATACTGAATAGGAAATTAATTTCTTGGCCAGTTAAAATAATTTCATGTTGCACATTTTTTTATTGGTGTTTCCTTTTTTCTGGGAAAAGCTGTCATTCTAAAATTATTTGGTTAAATGGAAGAAATGCAAAAGAAGCTTGCATTATAGTCAATTTATTGTTCATCTGCCTTTTTTTTTTAACGTCACAAAGTGTCTGTTTACTCTTCAGCTGGTTTTGAGAATTATGATTGCAAAATTCAAACAGAAGGACAAACACATAGAAACTACTAAAAATAACTGAAAGACAAAAAAGAAAAGTGAGGATTTACCTTGTCTCAGTATATTATGTGTGCAGCTATATAAACATCTCACTGTGCTCAAAGACTGAACTATACACGTTAAGCCTGAATGGCAAAAATGAATTCTTGTAGATGCTTTCAAAACTGCTAGCAATAGAATTTCTCTGGGTATAATAGAGATGACTCATTATGGACTAGTGACTTAGAAGAGCCTGCAAATAATGCTGCACATGTTCAACCTTGTTGTGGCCATTCATTTCACTGAAGTTTTTTGTACAGTTCACTATAAGTTACTCAGAGTTCCAGTTTGAAACCTTCCAAGGAATAAAAACAAGACTGCTTAATTTTTTTCAGGCAGATGTGTTTCAATGTCAGTGTGTAAAACTATGCAATGAGTTGACAAGGTCTCTGTGCAGATTATTTTTAATTACCACTTTTCTTTAACGTGTTGTGCTGCTAATGGCTGTGTGTTGTCTTGCTAATGACATGGGTAACCAGCACGTGAGAAAGAAAATAAGACAAATTGTCTATATTCCAATAACTTTTGCAATCTGAGACTTTAGAATAGCTTTGATGCTTCTCCCTAAGGGGTGTCCTGCAAGTGGAAAATGGTAGAGCCCTGATTTTTTCCGATATATGAGTATTTACATATGTGTGTTTACATGGCAGGTAGTTGGTGTTTTCGTCTGAAAATTGTAAAGCAGCTGGAGGAACTTTGAAGAAATAACACTAACAGTTCCTTTATTTTAGGTATATTTGTAATATATACCTAAAATAAAGGAACTATAAATTCCTTTATGATAAATTAATAAACCTTATGCTAGCAGGTTCTGAGTGTCTTGGGATTTGCTCTGATTCCTGGAAAGTTTGGGTTTTGTGCAAACTAAAAATGTAAAGTTCTTCAGAGCTCTGTAATGAACTCAAAATAATTTTATAAAGCAATACTGGTTTAAAATAATATTTGATAAGTGGGACATTTTCCTAGTGTTTGTAATGCATATTGGCATCAGTAATACCTTCCACCTGGAAACTTTTTCACCCTTCATATTTCATATAGAAATCCTTTTATGTAGTATAATTATACTGTAAATTGCTCAAGCATAACCCATACACAACATGATGGAGTCAGAGAAAGGCTAGTTCTACCCCATACCATAAAATATTCTGAAACTGCAGGGCAGATTCTCTTTTTTGTCACTACACTTCTTCCTGTTTTTTTGATACTGACATTTCTATCCCAAAGCCTTGAGACACTGACCTTACTATTCATTTGTTCTTTCAGTCATGAGGTTAGCTGGGTTTTAAGCACCAGACATGGGAGTTGTTGCAGCCCAAAAGCAATGTTTACCAGCCATTTTTGTTTCATTTGTTTCATTGTGAGGAGGCTTCAAGTTTCAGGCACTACAGAAAGCTCAGGCTATCCCTTTAAATTCACAACAAACACAGTGAGTTTTAAAATATATTTTCTTTCTGGCTGCCACAGAGGATTAGAGAAATGAAATATGCTTTTCATAATAATGCAAAGGCATGTTTTGAAGTGACAGTTCCATATGTTACAAGAACAACAACAACAAAAAAAAGGGGGGGAGAGGGGAGGGGGGCAGGGCAGGGGAACAAAATCGTAGATGCCGGAAAATGATGGGGTAGCTTGTGGGCTTCCACAAACATATGAAAACTTCCCAAAAGCAAATTCCCAGCTTTCTTTTAAATGCCCATTAATGTCTTCTGTTCTCTAGCATACGGTAGTGCCTGTGAAAAACTTCAGCCTTCCAGAATGCCAATGATGTAAACAGAATTCTGCATTCCTGCAGTGGAATATTTTTGCTCTTATTTCAGGTTATTTCTTTCCTTTGCCGGCTCCTCTTGCAGTTTTTCACTGTGATAGGGTCACTTCCCTATAATGACCAGGGAGGTGCATTTTAGAAAAAAACAGAAAATAGTTACAATAGATTAAGAATGAGTTTGAAGTAACTAAAATTTAACTGACAAATTCAGCAAGGAAAGGCAGGTTCTTCCAGGATTAGAAACCTATCTTAAGGTGTGTGCTTTCTTGGTTTGGCTTGGGTTTAGGTTTTTTTGGCAGTTGTGTGCTTTTTCTGTGGGTTTTTTTATATTGTGTCTCTTAGTGTGTTATTAGAATGGTTAGAATTAAGTTTATTACTTCAGAATGAAAAGTGCCTATGTCTTCTACCAGTAGAATTCTTATTGGTGGTCATGAGGAGCATGATGAAACAACAGGGAAGAAGCTGGACAGGGAACTAGATCTGGGTGTCTGAGCCAGTCCTGTTTGCATGGGTAAAATTATTCAGGGGAGGCTGCTATTCAGGGTGGGCTTGAGTGACTAGAAAGAAACAGTGTTTGTTAATCTGTGTGGGCATCTTTATTTTGCTCAAAAGTCTCTTTAGATGAAAACTGCACAATATATGCTGTTTGTTTTTTTGATTTTTTTTCCAAATCAAATAGCAGGGGACTAAAGTTGCATGGATTTTGAATGACTAAGTTTATAGGATGCAAACTTGGTATCACAAGACACCAGTGGAAAATTCCCCACAGATTTAGTAAACTGCAGCTTCATTATCCACATTTTCAAATGCATTTTGAAACCGATTTCCAGAAAACCCACTATTACCTGGAATAGTTTATATTAGAACTTGCACTGAGATGTCTTATTTCTGACATATCTGGATTGTTGATAGACTGGAGATGGCACAAATCTAGGCACGCTACATTTCAAACAAATTCAGGGCAAAATTTGATTTAATTGAAATTTTCCAGAAATTAGGAGCTTGGAATTAAATTTATAGCACATTCTAGTTTAGATAATCATACAACAGTATAAAAATCCCCACAATTTATTTTCTACCATACTCACTGGGTGTATCTTTGACTTTTAAGCAACTTTTTGCTCAAAACAATTGAACATATGCAGTGCAAATAAGTAGATATAGGCATGCACAAGTGGTGGTATAAGCTGGACAATGCGCAACTAACAAATGCATCTGGTATAGCTGGCAGCAACATCAGTAAGTTTTCTCTCTCTCTCCTGTTCCAGAACAGCTTGGTGTACACAGACAAGCGTTTCCCTTCTCTTTCTTTTCAAGTTAAAAGACAATACATTCAGTTCATTCCTGCAAGTGTCTGTTCAGACTTCATAAATGTGGTCTCCTCTTACATTAGCAGCTCTAGGTTACAGTCCTGTTGAGGTTTTATTTTCATTCACTAGTATATTACAGTGGTAATATTCTTCCTTTTTTTCCTTTAAATAAGCTGCCTCCAGCCCATGTCAGATAAACTTGATCTGTTCATAAGTATGGAACATTTAAAAACAGATGAATGAAATCAAAAGATCATTTTAACAGTGGTTTGTAAATGGATATTTTACAGGAATATACTGTTAGTCGCCATCTTGTGTACTATGTGCCCTTTTTTTGTGTATTTATCACAAAATACAAATCCACGCAAATTCAGTGATAGTAAACAGCAACACAGAGCTGCAAGAACAGTGGTAATTTGTAATCCCTTTTTCATACACAATGCAACTGGACCATAATGTAGGTTTGAAGTTCTAAGTGAAACTGCAGGGAGAAATGAGTTATTACAGGATCTGGAATCTGATGAAGACTGTAGCTAAAGAAATTTTATTTTGGAACAAGCAGTAAAAAATCCTGACTAGCTGGGACATTGATTTTATTTTGTCTAAAAGACGGCATCCCCAGGATATAAATTCCTAGCACTATTCTGAAGTGCTTGGTTGAATACTGACACATAGGGAAATCTTCCAACAAATCAATGCCAAGAACATCTATCTCATCAGACATAAGCATGCCTTGGTTTATAACGACTTTCTGTGACATGGTTTGGGCCCAGTTTTTCTGCTGATTTGTTCTCCTTTTTATATTGACCCGTTTTGTCTGTAGTAGATTCTTGACAGGGAGGGATTATGACCTACACCATTGTGTAACAGAATTATTCTACCCTGTCAGATAATGATGATCACAGAGTGACCTACCACAAAGGTTGTGATAGGAGTTCTTCACTCCCTCTGGAAAATGTGACAAGGAGTGAATTGTTGGCATGTTTCAAAAGACTCAACTCTATCTTCTGGAAAAAAAAAAAAAAAATCTGTAACATCCAAAAGAATATTCTATTTTCTGCAAACCAAAGAGTTTGTCCTGTCTGTTGAACTATGCCCCCAATCACTCCTAAACCATTGTTGTTGCCTGATTTGATTGTCCAGTGACCTATGCTTGGCTTCTGTTTGTGCTGTCTGGGCTTAATGTTTGGTTTCCATCTATCATGATACTACCTTTCTCCTGAATGATAAACTCTGCATTCAGCTAATAGAAAGAGCTATAAAAATTAACCTAGTTAACTTTTATTGGCTTGTTTTGGTCAACTACAAACAGGGTGCGACAAGACGCACCCCTGACCCGAGCACCTTCATCATCAACTTGTGGCGTGTGATCTGCCTGCTATATGCCAGATATGTATAGCTGACCTCCAAATGCTATTTTCAAAAACCCATGCATTAGGCAGTCTTTCACGTAGTAAAACTTGAATTGGAAGTAGATGAGCTTTAGTTCTATAGCCTACAAAATAGAACAGGTAGTGTAGCTGTGGAGCTTGACGTGGCTTCCTATACGGCACAGAAGTGTACTTTCACAAACTTCAATAAACAACCTACTTCTCTTTGGGTTTACTTTCAACTGTCATCTGGAAGACAAATATTGCATTCTCAGAGTAGGACTTGTCTGAACATACTCAGGTGTCTACATCTAACCTGGCTGCTGCTGGCAGTCCATGAGTTTAGAACAAAGTGCAGTGCAGACCACCTCAGTTTGAAACAGCTGTTGAAAAAGCTCAGATGAATAATTGTCTGCAACTCTTTATAGACTACACAGAAAAATTAGATGGTCTGCTGGGACTCCCATATCCAGTGTGATCACCTGAAGTTAGGTGAGCTGGATCCTATTCATTAATCCTTTGTTAGGCCTATTAACACAGCTCTCAAGGTATATGGCTGCTGTGGAAATGCCTTTAGAGTATGCTGCATTCTTTTCCTTAATTAAGCAAAGCTGCCTCTCTTTCAGAGCATATGCCATGGTTTTTGTTTTATTCTTTTCTACACGCATCATTTTAATACATAAATTAAAAGTGCTTTCAGCCTCCTCTAAATATGGTCCCAGTATTCCAAAATATGTAAATTGGCAGTGCTTTCAGGTTCCTTTAAATTTGCAGAGCAGGACTGGTATGCAAAGAACAGCTGTGTTCTGTGGATCATTCAACTACCTACACATACCTTAACTTAATGCCTGGCCACTAAACTTAATCTCAGGGTCTGGCTGTAATAGCCACTGTTTCTCATGCTTCAGAATAGATTTCCTTTCAATTTCTTGTTTAAATCCTGCTACAGATACTCTCTCCTGAATTAAAGGAATTTCTGGAGGTGGGACAAAATGCAGACAAACTTCAAATCACTTCCTACTAACTTTTTGAGGCAATAATCACATTGCTGGAATAAAAAATTATGTTGCCTAAATATTGTATTTCAGAATTTAGTTCTGAATTGTTCTAATGTTTACAGGTATTAATTTAGAGATGGATACAACTGGATCTAAAGACTGAGAAACAAAAGCACAATTGAAGTTTGTTAGGTGGTAGAAAATGCTCATCAAACATATTTCTAAAAAAGTAGGTAAAAGCAGCTAAAATGATGAATTTAAGCAATCTCTGTGTTAAAGATGGTTAATTCATCTGCAGTAATAAATTCATAGCATGTTTACAGAGAAAAAGTTAATAAGCTGGACTTAAGTGAAAG